CATAAGTGCAAAATGTTCAACACAGAAATCCTTCACCACAAATGACACCATTGTTGGCAGCCCCCTCAGAAAGGCTGGGGTACGTCTCAATGCAAAAAAAAAAAAAATGCAGTTTTTACATCAAGATTGCTACCTAGTGGAGACGAGGAACTATAGTTTTTGACCTTGCCTGCTTAAGTCAAGGTTAACTCCATGCGGGCAGTTTGGGGTTGACTTCAACTATTTACCTAGAAGTAAACTGTCTGTGCCTTGTCTCCAGTGTGATCTTATATTCAGATGGCTCTCGTGATTGAAAACAGTGTTTTCAGCACAAATTATTTAGACTATGAGTTGAACCAAAATTGGACTGAATTACCTTCTTACCCCTAAAATTTGTCCCTGCTGAGTAGCATGGAGAAGTCACCACTGATGTTGTCTCTAGTTTGAAGTACCAAATAAGTGGATGGGGGACCTGGTTCAAAGACTGTGTAACTGGCACTGTTAAACACTAAATGTACAGTTTTAAAAGATGTGGTTTATACCAAATACCTGCATCTCCTGGCTTCAATCACCTATAAAGAATAATTGCACTTGAAGTATATGAAAGCATGAATGAGAAAATGTGAAATTCCCATAAATACAGTATTGTAGTTATGGACTTGCTCTTCCTATCGCTTAGATTGAAATAAGTAGCTCATCTTGTTATTCATATGAGCACGTTCATCATACGTATCACGGTGCAATACTTATATAGTGCAATTTGTGGTATCTAAATAATGCAGCTTTAGCTGATGTCCTCTTATTATAGACCATCCCTGGACTCTTCTCTCCTATTCAGAATTTTGGCCTTACTATTAACAGCAACTTTGTAGAACATTACATATAAAGCTTACAGGCAATGTGAGTACATCTTTCTTCCATACTTGGGATTGCACAGAGAAGAATTCTTTTCATAGGTGACAGATACTCTAGAAAACTGGCTCTGAAGTTCGTAATATTTCTCTTTTTAGATTTTGTGCTACCAGTTCCTGAAACCAGAAGAAATGTGTACTAGACTCTGCTATGTGGCTTCAGATCAGCAAATCTGTTGTAGCCTGATGTACCACTCCTAGCACCCCGTGCAGTGTATAGAAAGCTAGCACTAACGACAACCCTGCTGTACCCATATTCAGCTATGTCCAATCTAAAGTCTGATGGGTTGAGAAATAAAGAAACCCTTCTTCAGAAACACCACAAAGACCTGCTTTAGTGGGAACTGATGAGGCAAGAGACTATCAGAGCAGATATCTACAGCCGATGAGTTAAATCATTCTTCAGTTTGTGTGTTTTCTAGGAAACCCAGTAACAGGATGATCCACCACACTATTGTTTTAGTCTACGAAATCTCTTCTTCCTAGGACAGTGGTTCTGAATGGTGATGAGCATTTTCCAGCATGTTTCTAGAACTCAGCTATCTTTCTAACTACCCTGGGACAACTCAGCAATTATGCCTATTGGTTTAAGCAGCAGAGAGCCAGAAGAACAACAAACATAGAATTGCAAAGTCCAAGAGCATGAAACCTGCAGATAGCCCTCATGTGTCTGAGCAAGTAATTCAAAACATTAGTTAACTCCACGGCTGGACATCACCAGCACATGCTTTGATCAATACACATGATCCAAGCAAGTCCATCATTAATATAACACAATCAGCCACATCCATTTTTATATTAGTGTGGTCATATGATCAGTTCAGGCAAGTCCAAAAATATTGCATGACTGTAAACTAGCAATTCCTTATTCAAACTGTGAATGTACCACCACCAAGAAGGTGGGAAACTGTTGGGCAAACGGATCGGGACATTATAATGGAACTTACCAGTAAAGTAAGATCTCGGTGAATGAAAATCACGCTAGGCCTGACTTTGGAAATTTAGGATTTCACCTGCCGAAAGCAGGGCCGGCTCTAGGATTTTTGCCGCCCAAAGCAAAAACAATTTTGGCCGCCCCCCCTCGGTTCTTTAATTACCCCACCCCCGGCCCCGCCTCAGCTCCGCCCCTTCCCCAAATCCCCAGCCCTGCCCTCCTCCCCGGAGGGAGGGGGAGAAGCGGCGCCCGCGCCGCGGCCACTCGGAGT